GGGAGGGGACGGGGAGGGGGAGGAGGGCTGGCTTGGCCCAGGCTGGTGACAGCCCTGGCAGAGTGTTACAGCAGGTGCTCCTGCCCCACAGGAGAGGCCATAGCAGGAATGGGGACCTGAATGTTTTCAGATCCCACAGCGGCCAGCAGGGCACAGGGTTAGTTTGGGGTGTTGGAGAAGAGGCACAGGAAATACCCTTGGGGAGCCCTCTTGCCTTCAGGATACCCCATGTCACGTCCATGCGAGAGGCTGGGGCCAGCCCTGGCAGATGTCTCAGTGTTCTGCGCTTCCCCTGCCTCACCCCCTCCCTCCCAAGCAAAGGGACTCACCCTCTTCTGTCCCTGCCCAGGTTCTCCGGGCTGCTGCATGGAAGTCCAAAGACGGTATCATTGCAAGCTCCTGCTGGTAATGGGATGATTTGGGAGATGGGGGATGTCCCCAAACTCTGACTCCAGGGGGAAGGATACCCACGTGGCATTGGTACAACCCTGAGGGAAAGGTCTCCCAGCAGCAAGGGGATAGACAGGACCACGAGGGATGGTCCTGAGAAAGGGCCAGGCACAACCTTATCTCTGAGCTTCCACAGAGACCCTGATACCCACCCCCGAGCAAAAGGAGTGTGTCTACGCAGACATTGCCGTCCCTGTGCAGGAGGCACCTGCCCAGGACTGCCTGGCCCAGAACTACCGAGCACTGTACGACTACACAGCACAGGTGAGAGCCAGGCCTTCTCTGCACAGTCTGGTTTGAGGGTCAGGCTTTGCCCCTCGGCTCAGGGCCCCATCCTATGGCCATTGGCCAGAATGGGTTCTTTGGCCTTACTGGGACTGGTTTTCTAGGTCCCTAAGGACTGCTTGAGGCAGCTGAGGGTGGCTGGGCTGAGATTCAGGGTCCAGTCTGCTCCCTGGATGGAGGGGAGGGCTGCAGGACCCAGCAGGGCTCTAGCTATTGTCCCTGCGGCCAGAGGCTGGGTGTGGGCTTCGTTGACTAAGGCCATGCAGGGACACGGACCTCACGCCTGGTCTGTGGCAGGGCGCTAAGCTAGGACAATGACCAGATGCCCTTGTATCCGTGGCCAGCCAGGGACATCTGGGCCCCGCAGCAGAGGTGGCTGTGGTGAGCCTTAAGGAAGAGGGTGTCCTTGACTTGCGGGGCTGAGCACCCCTGACTCCCTTGTGCTCCAGTGGCTGCCACAGGTTGGGGAGGCTGCTGATGACACAGACAAGAAATACCCACGTCCTGTCTGTCTCCGCCTGGGCATGGCGCGGCTCAGCCAACTGCACCCCCAGCATGTACTTCCTGCTGAGGTGGGGTGCCAGGCCTGAGCCCCCACAGGTCCTCCAATCTCATACACTCACCATCTCTACCCAGAGTTCCGAGGAACTGGACATCTCTGCGGGGGACATCCTGACAGTCATCCTGGAGGGGGAGGATGGCTGGTGGACAGTGGAGCGGAATGGGCAGCGAGGCTTTGTCCCCGGGTCCTACCTAGAGAAGCTCTGATCAACCCACCTGCCTGTGGCCAGGACGGTGCTGGCCGCTCCCCAGGAATAAAGGCGTGCCTTCTTGTCGTCCTCGTCTTCTGGGTCCCTTCCTTCATCAGAGGCAGAGGAGGAGTGGGAACAGATCCCCCCGGGTCCCAATTCCACTGGGGACAGAGAAGAGCCGGTCCCAGCTGCTGGAAACTTCCAGACTGCCACAAAGATACCTCTACCTTGGGGACATGAAGGCTGGGATGGGAGGCCAGGATTCCTGGGACAAGAAGGGGTGGTCTTGGGGGGCAGCAGCCAGGACAGGCAGGTGGAAGCACCAGCAAGGAGGGGGCACACTTAGCCTGGCACAGGAAGTAGGTGGCAGATCTGCTGGAGCCTGTAATAATATCACGCCAGAGTCCACCGTGGGCCTGTGGCCTCCCCACGGCCCTGGCTCTGCCTAGCCCCTCATCTGGAGGTCCAGCATCCAGAGCCTGTCCTACACGGCCAGGCAAAAATCAAATTTTTGCCAGGGCAAGAATGTTTTACAGATACCTACCACTATGCCCACATCATCGTCTGAGCAAAAAGGCAGGCTTAGTTATGTAAATGTCAGAGTGAAGGATAAGATGGGCAGGTGCCTTTGGTCAGGCGTGGGCACCTCACAGGCCTCTGGGTATAGGGAGGGCTCTGGGGTGGGCCAGGCAGAGGTGCAGAGGTGCAGAGGTGCGACAGCCTCCAATGAGGACTGAGGACCAGACTGGTGTGTGCTGGGTGTCAACCATCCCTGCTGCCTGCCAGAGGATGTCACAGGAAAGAAGGTGGAAAAGAGCTTCAGGCCAAGACCTCCATCCTTCCCGAAACATCAGGGACATGTTTTGGGAGCTGTCAAGCCTACCCTGTCCCTAGGTCTAAGTATGCAGACAGGGACGCCAGGAGAGAACAGTGTGGGCCTTAAAGCCTGCCTGGGGCAAAAAAGGCCCAGCACTTGGAAGGCTGAGTTCAAGGCCAGCACGGGCTACACAGTGAATTCAGGACCAGCCTGAGGTACACAGTAAGACATTGTTTCAACCACCCCACCCTCAGAAGGCTGCCGGGAACCACCCCTCAGTCCTGCCAGATCCCAGGCCTGCCACCAGAACAATGCAATCAAAGAGACTGAGGACTCCAGCGTGATCTCCCGGCAGTGACTGCTAAAATAAGGACTCAGGACTCCTGTGTGATCACAGGCTGGGTGGGGCCTGCTAAACTAGAACAGCGGCTGGAAGAGCCCTCTCCCTCACAGGGGCAGTCAGGCACTTCTAGGCCCTCCCTAAGTGGGCTGACTGGGGCCTGGTGGCTCACGGGAAGTGGCACTTGGCTGGAGACCCTCCTGGAAGAGAGCAGCTGGACAGGACTGGTAACTTCTGGGATGGGAGATGAAAGGAGGCTGAAGAGAAGTCAGGAGTGGATTCTGAGCTGAGCCTTAGAGATGGGAGGGTCTGCCCCAACCCTACATGGAATAGGAGATGGTGCAGGGACAGGGCTTGCACAAGAGGACAGGACTGACCAGGGACTCAGGCTGTACATGGGCAGAAAGGAGAAAATAGGAGCAGAGTCAGGCACCAGGGCGTTACTTATTCCCCACAAACACCTGTCGTCTTGATGGAGCATCCCATTCCACTGCAACCATTCTTCAGAAACCTTTGGCCTAGATATTCATCATCAGCTCTGGCAGGTGCACGGTGCCTGACGGGTAACAAGTGTTAGCTAATGGTGCAGTTTTCCAGTGTTCAGGCAGCCAGAGAATGAGAAGCAACTTTTGTCTACAATTTATACCAGGAAAAAAAAAAATCAAAAAATGAATTCAAGTCAGACCCATCCCTTCTGCAGCGTCATCCACTGTCTTCGTGTTTAACTAGGTCACAGCCTCAGCTGTAGAAGGCAACTGCATGGGGGGGGTCCAGCAAGGGACATAGGGCCAGGTAACAGGAGCTGTTATGCAGCCTCTTCCTGACACAGTGTGGGACAGGGAGAGAGCACAGCCTCTGAGGTCAGAATGTCACCATCTGAAGCCAGCTGACCTGTCTTTGGGTGGTCCTAGAAGTCGTGATTTTTCTAGGCCCCCATTTCATCACAATAAGATGGGTTTAATACAGCTATGCAAGTTGTTATCCCCCTACTCTTCAAATGAGATAACAGTCATACACTAACTAAAGGCAAGGGACTACCACTTAGGGAAGTGGAGGCAAGAGGATCCCAAGTTTGAGTCCTGTCTGGGCAACTTGGTGAGATCTTGTCTCAAAATTAACAGAAAGGGTTGGGGAAATCCAGCTCAATGGCAGACTGCCCCTAGGTTTGATCTTCAGTAATGGAAAAGAATAAAAAAAAAAAAAAAAAGGGACTGCCACTTTTAACAAGGCCCACATCCTCCAAATCTTAGCCATTCTCAACAGTAGCTCTGAGCTTGGGACACCTCACTCAGCAAATCCTCTGGGACAGTGATGGCTGTGTCATTGTGCCCTGACAGTGATGAGACTAAATCAACAGTGGTGTCCACACTGAATTCCCATATTCTACAACATCTTAGGCCAAGCGGCCCTGGCAGAAAGACATGTCTGGCCTGGTCAGGCAGAACCTGGGTGTCTATCTGTTTCCCACCCTGGCATGGGAAGGCAGCACAGGCCCAGAACAGGTCTCCGTAAGGGCACCAAGTAATACCCTCAGGAGAACCTAGAGGCATGCGATAAAAAGCCACAGAGAACAAATATTTTGAAGAACTACTGAGTGTGGTGGATACAAGACCCTACACACCATAGCACACTAGGAAATGCAGCAGAAGAATTATTCCACTCACAGTAGCAACAGACTGAGTTTTACAGAGAAGTTTCCCAAGCGAACCCTGTAAAGATCTGTAGAAAATAAGACAACAGCCTGTAACACTGGGCAGAGGAGAGGCAGGCATAATGGCCCATGCCTATAATCCCAGCACTTGGGAAGCTGAGACGACAGAATCACGGCGAGTTCAAGGACAGCCTGAGTTACACAGCGAGATCCTGTCTCAAAAAAACAAAAAGAAAAAGAAAACCAAACCAAAACAAAATCTGGGCAAAGGATAGAAAGTGAAAACTGAGGAGATACAAACAGCAGAAACTTTTTAGGCTTGGCTCACACTTAAATACATATTTTCATCTGCAAGAAAAGATAAAGGATGGTAACACCCCAAGTGTCAGCGAGGGTCAGGAAATGCACCTTTTCGTGCAGACAGTGGGAAGATGAGTTGGTTCTCTTCCTGGAGAGCAACTGGCCAGATCTATGAAAAATTTATATACAGCTTTTGGTACAGAGTAAATTCATTACATACTAAAAATCTCTTTGTAAGTCCATGTAAAAATAAATAACACGGAGTGATCAAGAGGCTTTGAACTAGCACAGGTGGTGGCTGCACAACACCGTCAGGCACTGGAACTTGGCTGTTTACATGGTTACTCTATACCAATATGCTTCGGCTCAAGTTGCCTGCCTGTAGTTCTCATCAACAGACTCCATATGTACAAAGGAGGTCCCATGTGATTACAAGGGACCTGAAAAATCCCTACTGCCTAGTGAGGTCACAGCTGTCCTAGCAACTTTGGCATTCCTTGGGTATGGGGTAAACAAACACACTGTGTGCAGTCAAGGGACCATACAGCACATAATTACATACAGTGCGGGTATGGTAAAACACCATTACTGGTTTATGGATTTAATACACTAGATTTTAATCACTACTCTGGAGCAGGTATGTTCCATGTCCAGCCCATGGGCCACTTGCACTCGTTTTTTTAAATGCCACAATAAAAACATTTTAAAAAGTTTTGTTACACACATTAGCTTTATTATGCATTTCACATGCAGCCAAGGACAACTCGGCATCACCTGATGTGGCCTAGGTGAGCAAAAGGCTGGTCACTGACACCTGAGAGAGCACTCCTGTGTCCTCAAACAAGTGCATGTGCAGCAGGTGCAGTCATGCCGCAGTGCCTTCGATGTCCATGTTCATCAGGTGTCCTGACTGCGGCAGGGCCACGCAGAGTGACCGACTCTACCATCCAGGCTTGCTATGTACACTGTATGATCTTCGCACCATGACAGAAGCGACTAACCACAAGCTCTCAGGATGCATTCCTGCCATGAAGTGACACGTGACTGTGCACATGGTGCTTTTCCAGCAGCAAAGCTGAAGCAACCTCAAGATCCATCCACTGTGCGTTGGGTAACTGTGGTAGTGATGTATCTGTACAGCCGACAGAAGGCAATGACAAGGCTTACTAGTCCAACCCAGCAAGATAACCATGCTGTGTTGTGAAGAGACACCATACAGAATAAACTTTAATAGGAAAAGCAAAACCAAAACCAACCACCAAGCCTGTTTCTGTATACGCAGAGAAGTTGGAAAGTCATATACCACTTCTAACTGGCTCACTTGTGGTTTGTTCTTTATAGATATCCCCACTAATTTCTAAATACTGTATGTATGTATGTGTGTATACAGTATTGGGTAGGAATTGAATTTAGGGCCTTCACAATGAGCTAAATTCCCAGCCCTTTTTATTTTTTATCTTGAGACAAGGTCTTGTTGAGTTGCTGGGCTCAAGCTTGTCATCTTCCTCCTTGGCTCTATTATCAGTTTTTAAAGCACCAATTAGTTTTGCTAAAAAATTTTTCTTTTCCTGAAAATGATGCAAGACAAAAATCTATCAACTGACAAGATGAAAACCAGATATGATCTGAGCCACAAAAGGGAGGTGGATCTGGACATCTTTTAGTGTCTGTAACAACAGAAGTGCTTCAAACAATGTGGGGTCATGGGGGAACTTGAAGGGGCCCACTGGTCCATCTGGAAGCATTTCAGGAGGCCCCTCTCTTCTCAGACAGTGACAATTACAGGAACAGGACTCATCATCCTCAGTGGGTGGAAGTGGACATACAGAAATAAGTGATAGGGAAGGGAGAGTGGGCGGCCTGGCAAACGAGGACAGAGTGAGGGATTGGAAAAGCCCCCTTTAGCACTCGACCTGGGGAAGATGGAATAGGGTGAGGGCAGTACTGTTTGCCAGCTCTGGGGAGAAGTGATGGAGAGCAGGGTATTTACATCAACTGTGGTTATGTCTACAGAGGTACTTAAAGGTTGGGAGGGAAAGTAGTAACTCTTTCACTGCAGGCATCCACTGTCTCACAGCTCCGAATCCACCAGGCCTTGTCACACTGATGGGTGAACTTTCCTCTGTGGCTGGCCACAGGGCGCTGAAGGGGCTGGAAGGACTCTCATCTTCCGGTACTAGCAGATTCCGCAGCATCCTCCACAGCAGGTTCTGTCCCTGTGGCTTTCCCTGTAGCAGGCACCTCCAGTGATTTATTCTTCTAAGCAGGGCAGTGTCCCTGTGGCAGGCTCTCCTTCGAGGGCTCTCAGCATTGGGGGGGCTCTGAGATTCTGAGCTCCTTCTTCTCTTCCTTTGGCCCTATGGCTGACAGCTGGTTTTGCTAAGCTGTTTCAGAGCTTTTTTCCTCCTCTTACTAGTTAACTACCTTTTACACAGTAAACACTTATGAACACTTTCCTGTTCATACTTTCATTAGATCAGGTGATCAGATTAACATCATCGGGGGTGGGGCATGCAGACACTGTGGACCTCACAACACAGTGCTCAAGAGCACACAGGATGTGGGCTGTATTCCAGCCACTTGGAATGCAAAACCTAACCCACTCTACAGGAAACACAGATAAACCCAAAACAGGCAGCAGCATTTAAAAGAACAGACTGTATTCTTCCTGAACATCAATGCTGTAAGAGACAAAACTATGGAAACGCTCCAGATTAAAGATAACCAAAGAGACCTAGTCTTAGACAGATCCGAGACTGCAGGGGAAACTCCGAAGGATACCTCGAGATCAGCTGGGATGTGAGTGGTAGACTGCTGTGTCGGTGCTGGATGCACTGACTTTGGTAATGATACTGTAATCTGGGAGACATCTTTTTCTTAGGAAATACCCACCGAAGCACCACGGACAACGGGCTAGGCCTTATGTGGCCAACAAATAAGCACATATGAGAAAACAGGATTACAAGTTGAATGGGACAAACATTAATAGGTATGGCTGGGTAAAGGACACTTGGGCTTCTTATATACAGTTTTTTTCCTTGTAACTTTTCTATGGGTTTGAAATTATTTCCAAATAACGCTAGTTTTTAAATGGCAACAGGTAGTAGCAGTGATTCTCAGTCACACTGTCCCTAGTAGCACTTGGACTATATCAGCAGCCTGGCACCTGCTCCATGCCCTTCAGCTCTCCTGAACTGCACGGATCTCACTGAGGCCTTGTCACGCTCCCTCCCATCCATGCTCCAAATCTGGGCTGGCAACCAGCTAGGGCAGATCAGCTTGTGGCATGGCTGCCTTTGCCTGCATGTCCAGTCTGCACAGATGACCCTAGAGGATCTGGGCTTTGTTTCATCTCCAGCTTCTTTCCTCAGCCTTGCAGTTAGGCTCCAGGCACATGAGTCTATTCCACTTCATGCCCTTGGGTACCCTCCTCCCACAAAGCTTGTGCAGCCTCCAGGCCCAGGGTCTCCTCCAGGAAATTGCCTTGAAGGCTCCAGGCACCCTGCTCCCTTTCTCCCCCTACCACTGCACTGTATGAAAATCACCTGCTTCTGCACATCTCCTGGGTCAGGGTTCCAAACTCCCTGAGGGAAGGACAGCTTCTCATGGTGTCCCCTGGCCTGGCACAGAGCAGTTCCATTATTTGTAATTATGCTAGACTGGAAAACATCAGGGGTGTTTTGAATACCAAGGCCTTTAGAATTTGGCAACAGATGTAATAAAAACATAGGCAAATCAGACAGCACTAACATTTGAAACATTATACTGCAGCTCTGGAACTGAAATATCCCCCAAATAATTAAAACTGTTGAGGGCTGATACAGAGTTTATTGAATTAGGATTTTCTATTTACAACTGAGATCACGTCTACATACTATTCTGCTAGTCTACATGGGTACATTACCTCTAACAAGCTGAAGACTTATGATGGCGGGCTCAGTCACACACACACTCACTCACTGTTTTAAAACAGTAGCGCATATGTTATACCCCTCCTATAAAGCCAGCTTTGATTAAAAACCACTAATTTCAAAGACCAGTCTGATTCTGAAGATAAAGGAAGATACACGCTATGTGATCTAAAATCTATCTTAGCCGTTTTATACAGCTGGTATCTTATCGGACTACAGGATATATTTGTAAAGGACACCAATGAGGGGCACCATCTGATCATTTTACCAGACAGCTGGCTTCCTCTCCTCCCCGCCTTAGCCTCTGGGCAAGAGTTCTCCATTGTGAAGACAGAAAGAACCCAGTGATCCCACAGGAGAGTCCTATCATTACTCGGAGGTGACTGAAGCAGGCCTCCACCTGCCTTTATCCTACCGTACTATGCAACTTGCAAATGGCTCTGAAATGAGAACATTGACCACCAAACTTAAAACCCAGGGGCATGGAGAGTCGGCTACAACCAGGAAAGAAAGCCATGGGAGGGAAGGTAAGTGAGTGGGTATGAAAAGCCAAGCTGCTCTGCCCAACACCAGCATTCATGCGCTTCAACCAGAGAACTCAGAGCCAGTGCAGCAGACCTGCTCAGTCCACCTCCAAGCCATGCGAGACCGAGGACTCAGGCTGGGCCTCTGCTAGGCGTAGGTGCCCCCGGTGATGAGGAGCTCGTAGGCAGGGTCTCTACTCCTCCTGCACAGCACGATGCAGGCGCACAGCATGCCCAGTAGCTGCAGGGAGAGAACAATGAGAAATGCTGAAAAGTCCCTTTAGGACAAGTGTCCTGAAATCATCAAAAAACAGTAAGAGTGAAAGGAAGAGTTTCTGAGGAATACATCATTTTTGAAGAAACTAAGTACTAAACATCAGCTTCCTTGTTTCATACCCAGGAACTCGGTGAGGCTGAAACAGAGTCAAGGCCCTTACCACATCCCACCAACCCAGTGCCATCTAAAGAAGCATCTACAGCGATGGGACCTTCTCTGTATGGCCTGTCCCTCAGCATGGCAGCCAGCAGCCACCAGCCACAAGGCACAACTCAACATCTGAAGCCACCTAGCACCACTAAGGAGTTAGGTTTACATTTTCATTTAAATTAGACACGTGTAAGCAGGGGGCTCCCAAGCTGGACAGCAAAGGCTGGGGAGGGAATGACCAAGATGAGGTGTGCAGTCTCCATCTGGGGGGACAACAGGCTTTGTGACCATCACACCACTCAGTACCCCAACAGCCCCGTGCTGGAAGACCACTCCTGATGCCAAAAATGTAATCTGGCAGTTTTTACTTCTTTTACATTTCCTGTTTTTGAAATCTGGGTTTGATTCTGTGGCATTAGATACATATTATGTATTTTTAAAGGTCACTCCTCTTCCTTCTTCATTTTATTTTCATAAACCCTAATCTTTCTGTGGTAGCATAACTGAAGCAACAATACAGTCATGTCTTGCTACTTTACATAAGCAAGAGGGTTAAGCTGGATTAAGGAGAAAACAATTCTAGAATTTTTGACCCAGCTTCTCACAAAATACTATAAACACTAATCAAAGGACTAAATAAATGTGACCTTGCTGTTCCCGCCCCTCACTGACAGGGAAGACCTGAGTTACCCGATTTTAAACACAGGGCCCCCTACATACACGGGGTCAATGTAATCTCAGAGAAATGTACCTGGCCCATCAGACTCTTTAAGCCCAAGCTGGGAGGTTACCAACTAAGGAGCGAAGAGAACGCAGGCATCCTCGTCCACCACAGATCACAGCTGCGTACTTGGGTCCAGCCGTTCTCTGAGCCTGGACTCTATTGCTCAGGAATGGACCTGCTTGCTATCAACTCCATGGCTTCACTGCACCAGGATCTGCTGTTGCTTCCCTGTGTGAGCCCATTAAGAGACACGTGGGAGAGCAGATACTGTGGAGAGCTGACCCAGCAGCTTAAGCTGATACTAGAGCCAGACACAGTTAATGTCTTAATTCCTGGTATGTTTCTGTTCACCATCCATCATAACAGTCTTACAGCTATAGAATCAAACACAATTGGCTCCCAGGCAATAGTAAATGGGGCAACAAAAAAAATGCTAAACTCAGAAATTACTGATTTGCTAGGAAAAAAATTTCTCACACTCCCTCCCTACAGTCTTTTCAGCAAGTTTACTTCTGATGGACAGACAGCACTCTCAGAAGGAAGTGTGAAGGAAGTTTCACTTCTTCTCTCATTCATTTCAATTAAATCAACTTGTGTTGATCTAAAAACATTTTAAAAAGCATGATAAAACTCTTTATGCCAGGCCTGGTTGGCCCATGCCTGCAGTCATGGCATTCTGGGAGGCTGAGACAAAAGGATCCCAAGCTTCAGCCCAGACTGGGCAACACAGTGAGACTCTATCTCAAAGTAAAAATAAAAATAAAAAAATAAAGCAAGCAGGCTGGGGATGTAGCTCAGTGTGAACTCCTGTGTTCAATCTCCAGTCTGTCTCTGTCCTCTCTCTCTCTCTCTCCTTCTCTCTGTCTCACACACACACACACACACAAACACACATATACATATGTTTGGGAATAAGTCTAACAGCAATCTCTGCATAACTTGTTATTCTCACTATTAAGATCACAGGCCTGTTTCCAAAGCCTTGCTATACTGAAATTTCATTGATTATTGAAAATTTCCAACAATAGACTTGGAAAATACTATATGAATATTTTAGCACCAAAGTTATTTCTCCCAGTGATAACTTCCTTGCAATATTTAAGTCCTGGGAACTAATCTACCTAACCACATATAATGCCATCAACTGCACAAACTGCAAAAAAAAACCCAAAACCTTACTAAATAGAGATGAATGGAAATTTTTAAAACTGACTGCCAAAGTAAAATGTCCTGTGACATTCTATGCAGGTGGGGGTGAGAGGATATAGGTATTCTTATACAAGAACAAGAATGTTCCAACACTTGGTTCACGGCATATAAACCATGAACATGCAGAAGAGAGGATATTCACTACTTGCTTTTTTGCAACAGCAAGACTTACGTAAGTGCCTATTATATCCAAAAAGCAGAATATGCATCCCTGAGATAAAGTAGATCTATATCCAAAAGATACTGATTTTTTTTAAGAAGCAAAGTATAAATGATATGATCCTATTTACACAACACTTTGAAATGACAAATTTTTAGCACTAGAGGTGTGATTATCAGTTGTCAGGGTGAGGGGAAGGTGGTACAGCTGTGAAGATCAATGGGAGAACCCCACTGGGTGGGAAGCGCTCAGTACCTGCACAGCAGTGCATTCAGGAGCGCACACCAGCCACAAGTTGTACAGAAGTGAGCACGCGTGTGCAGACTTGTGGATGACCAATGGCTCACACTATACCCTTGCTAAAGTGCCACTGGGGGAGAGCAGGCAAAGCACATGAGGGCGCTCTATTATTTCTTTCGACTGCACTCTACAATCTTCTCTGCTTAAAAAAAATCTATGTATGTTTGCATTAAGTACAGACTGCTTCTGGCAAGATACATGGAAACTGACACACTGCCTCTATAGAGGGAGACTGGGGTCTAGACAGAGGGAGGCCTGGAACCTTTAAATATAAAACATCTAACTGGTCATTTGATAATCTAAGAGGCTGGCTTTTTGCAGAGAAGAGAAACATCTTGTTTAACAATGCAGCTAAAATGTAAAAACCTCATTCCCTTGTATTCAAAAATCCTGTTGTAATAGTTAACTAGTATTTTTCAGGTTTTTCTTTATCATTTTGGTCCTACCCAAACCTAAACTGTTTAATTAGACTAAAGCAAGGGTCAGTCAATGTTTTCTGAAAAGGTCTTGCTCCTAAATATTTTAGGCTTTGCAAACCAGGAGATAAGAATCAGTCTCTGCTTCAACCACTCTGCCATTTTATCCCATTTTGCCCAGCTCAAGTGTCAACTGTGAGGATTCCTAAGAGAATTTAGGAATCCAATCTTCTGAGAATCTGAATTCTTAAGATCTGGAGACAGAGTTGGAGACAGAGTACAATGGAATTGAAGGCTCAAGCTTTAGTTTTGCCACTCTATGTGATGGTCATAGTCACAATGTCCTTGCTCCTAATTTTTGTGGCAAAATAAAGGGGGAAAGGACTGGGAAATCTCTAAGTGTTCTTTCTAGCTCTAAATTCTGTATTGGGATTGGTGTGCAAGCACAAAAACTCACTAATATTTGAGTTATCTCTGCTTTTGTTCTGTTTTTCCATACCCAGGGCATAATTTGTATCAGATTTTGAATATCAAAAGCTTAGAACATTTACAGGCACTCTTAAGATATAAAATTCTTTTACCATTTTAAATGCATTTTTTTCCCTTAAAAATCAAAGTTTTTCACTTTCAAAACCACTAGGTTTTGAGCCTGTGAAAGCTCTGAATCCCTGCCTTAGCCTCACTAAACTGAAAATATCTAATCTTTACCAGCTATTACTTAAATCTGGGTGATTTAAGCATAAAACATACATGGCAAATACACGTAAATTAGGAAACTAGTTAAAATATTTATTAGTTCCCACTGAAAAATATTTAATGAAGAAATATCTGGGTGGCTAATAAGCTTAATGAGATGAGGGATGTAGCTAAAGTAGTGCTTTTCATCGGTCTTCTACATACATACTGCATATTTCACGAGCATAAGCACCAGACAGTCCCAAAGCTTTTTTGCTGCATGCTAATATGTGTAGTTTTCTTACCAAACACAATCATTAAGACTGCTCCCCACACCATGATTCTACTTGGAAAAAGAGACCTCCCTCTTATTTCATTATTTGTAGCTAAATGAATGTGTTTGCACAGACAATCAAAATATGAAATATATCCCTGCTGATCACCAGGTTACTGCTACATTGAGCCACAAAGTGAATGCTTAGAAGGGGAGAGACCATACTAACTCTACAGGGTGAGGCCTTTTAATGAGTCATTTCTGGGCTGTTTGAATACCAGCAAAGAAAACACGCACCCCTTTGCCATTTCATAGACACTTCCCATTAAATATACTAGCTTCTGTTCATGTTTACAAAGAGCAAGCAATGAAAGCAATTTTTAACTTACCTTTATACCAGCAATTACATTAGTTTTAATCTAACAACTAAAAATCTGCACTTTCTTAAAATACATTATCTATCCCTGAAGCCTATTTCAGGAACTACAAGAATATTCTGAAAACTAGATTTGATGCCAAAGATTTTCAATCATTTTCAAGCATTTGGCTATTCTCAGCTGTAAGACTCGTCTAAGACATTCCCCTAACAAAATCCCTAAGAGATATGGTATGTACCTGAGAAGCTAGGAGTGTGGGTAGATGTGCTGGTTGGGAAAGTGTCTGCCTATTATCTTTTTTTTTTGGTACCGGAGAACAAACTCAGGACCTTGTGCTTTTGAGGAACCACTGAGCTAAATCCTCTGCTGGCTGCCTATTATCTATCTTTATGTGGGGTGAGGGAAATGTATGTGGTTTTGCAGGCAGGGCGGGGTGGGTGCGCCTGGGAGCAGATAAAGTCAGAGGTAATTAAAAAATTACCAGTTAATTTGCAGTAACTATTCTTAGGGTAGAAAAAGACTGTTTCCAATGGTAGGAGTTGGGAAAACAGGTTTCCTCAGGTACCAACAGTGGCAATGTGCCAAATGATGTCAAGGACTTCTGGGTGGGTGTCAGTCTGAAAGAACTATGTCTATAAATACAGAAGAGGCTAGAACTTGTTTTAATGAGAAATCTTTTCTGTAAAGCAATGCAGTTGTTTCTTTTAGAATGAGAGAACAGTGTTCTTGATTTAGGCAAATGTATACCAAAACTCTCAAGCAGCTGGGCGCAGTGGTGGGCATCCACTGACTGTCTCAGCTACTGAGGAGGCTGAGGCAGGCAGCTGACTTGAGCCCAGGAGTTTTAGACGAGCCTAGGCAATATAGCAAGATATTGTCTCCCTCAACCAAGCAATCAACCAACCAATCAATAAACTCTCAATGACTAGAAAAAGTGGTATACTACCCTGGACAACATCGTATCTCAGACTCTCAAGAGCTAAAAATTGTATACTAAAAGGCAGAAATAAACCTTTCCATTTCCAAACTGAAATAAAGCAGTTTTAAAACTTCTGTGACGTTCCATTAAGATACCTCTCAAGAAGAGACTACAACAACAGTTTATATTTTGAACGGTTCACTCACTTCTCAAGACAAGAAAGTAAGGCAAAGAAAGACCCTTCTCACATGTAGTCCCTCCCCACGCCACATCTCCGGATTCTTTAGACCATTCTGGTTCTAGGCCTAAGTCAAGAGGCTGGTACCACAATCACTTCTAAGTTATTGATACACACCAAGATTCACCCTCCTTAGTGACTGGACCCATTCAGGCTGACACCTGAAACTAGCTAACAGTGACGCCAGCTCCCAGGTCAGCTGTGCTTACCTGGATGGCTGCAAAGGCCAGCGCCGCCCAGATGACATGCATCATGATCTCCTGCAGCTTCTTTACAACCAGAGCCTCACATCCCTGCAATACAGTCAAGTCACCCTCATCAGGAGTCGTTTTTGAAAGTGAAAGCTGAAGTAACAGATTACCATCCACTGGCAGAAATGGAAACAAAAGAAACTCAAACAGGGAAAAAGAAAGTATGTGATTAGAGCAACTTACAGAAATACAATTAAAGTAAAAGATGTTAAAATGAAGTGGCACTAAAGAAGAGCAAGGAGGTAGAAAAAAGTTTCAGTTAGGAAGGAGACAGTGAACATTGAGGTAGGTCTCCAGTCTCCGACATGGCTCACCTCGGCGTAGAGGTCGGAGGGGTTGGCCAGGCTGCCGTTACAATTGCTCACAGTCTCTCTGCAGCAGCTAAGAGGGACACTCTGGTTTTTCGTTTCTTTGAACCAATCTGTGTTTTCCCAGTCTGAGTAGTTATGAATTCCACAACAGTGCAGCTAGAGGAAAAAGCAGACATTACTCCTTACCAAACATATATGCTTGGCTTAAGCTTTAGCCTTCCATGCACAACAGAGCTTTAAAATTGATGAGCTACTAGAGACTGGTGTTGTCCAGCATACTTTCTGTAGTGAAAGAAATGCTGTGTCTACAAGGTTCCACATGGTAGCCATACCTACAGGGGCTAACTTGAGCACTCATAGTGTGGGTGGTGTGACTAAGGGACCCAAGGTTTTTGTTTTAATTTAAATAATCACATAAGCTCCATATGAAAAGTACACTCCCTACAAGAGGCACTTTCTAGCTAAGGAAAATCTTCCTATCTTGTACTTGGAACATCTATCTGGTTCTGAGTTAAATATTTCCAGTGACAAAGTATTTAATATATTTTATCTGAAATGTCTGAAAGTTGCTTTAAGATAGACAAAAACATGCACAGGTAACAGAAGAAATAAGGCTGATAAAAAGCTGGCAATTTTTGAGGCAGGGTTATTGTACAAAAATCTATCATAAGTATAAAAGTCTACTTTTGTGTGTTTCAAAATATATATATACACACACAGATGTATTTTTTTACATTTTTGTGTCCTTTCTGACCTTGTTTTCTACAGGTACATGTGATCCTCTCAGCTCCCTTAGAATCCACTTGGACTCCCACTTTCCTGTGATGCATACTTCTCTCCCACCATCACCTGTCTAGTTAAGTACTTTGGTGGGGAGTCAGATAATTTTAAAAAGTCTAAGATGCTTCCTCCTTGCCTTGACTAGGTGACGAAAAGTAGAACAAACTTTAAGAGTGCAGATGGGGGCAAAAGATCAGACACATCCTGAGGTTCCTCAAAGCTGTGAAGGCACACAGCCCAGTGGCACAGTAACAGTAGAGTTCATTTCATGCTCCCCCAAGTAAGTGGCCCTCACACACCCTGACCTCAAGCAGACTTACCTGCCTCTGCACATAGTCAATAGCCCGGCTGGCGGCGTCGGGGTTGGTTCCATTGTAAGTCTTATACACTTTCTGAATGCTGCGGTCAACCTCATTTTCCACCTGAACCAAAACAAACAATTCAGTCCTTCCAAAATACAGTTAAAAGGAGCGTGAGTCAAAATTAATGCCTATATGGGTGTTTCAAGTTGCCAGAGCTCTCTGGATTTTTTTTTAAAGGGGATGGGGGCTGTTTCCCCTCCTACCTCTGTATAGATTCAAACAGGAGAAAGTTCAGACAGTCTATCATAGAGATTAAAAATATTCAAAGATGGCATGCAAGCTGGCAGGCTAATAATCTGTTCAGGAGAGAAAGCAACTGAGCACTAGGATGGATCTTCTAAATTGTAGAAGGATGCCTTCCTTGTGCAAATAAATTTTCAGTGTGTCCCAGAAGACTCACTTACTTTCTTTTCCTAAGGGATATAAAAGTCAAATAACTTTGAAGCTTATTTTCAGAACAAATACCAACAGCATTTTTATTTTACTTAATGTTTAGACTTGGTCAAATACACAAAGGTAATTAGCAGATAAAAATACGTCCTTAGAAGCGGCCCTTTATGTGAAAGCAGCTGCTCAATATGTGTCAAACAGAAGACAGGAAACAAACTTCCTACTGCCCATTACAAGAGTGGCGAGCAAGCATCATTTACTAAAGTCGGCTTGTATCAGGTTTTCCTACTGGTCTCTAAACCAACCGATTAGATCTATTTGGTAATTAAAACAGTGATATGATGGGACTACTTGTCTGATAACCAAGTCATTGGTAGAGATATTTTTGGGGGGCACAGTGGCACAGTCCCTTCCTTCTCTAGCAACTTTATCCACTTGGCATAGCATGCCTTTGACTTTAAACTCTAAATTACCAGAATTAATTTAAAATAGCCTGTTTAGTCGTAGGTACTGTACATGTAAAGCAAAGGCAAAATACAAAAGGAAGGAAAAGGAAGAGGGAATGACTAAGGAAAGGCAAAGAGAAGCAGTGAGGAAGGGCTGACAGTAGCTGCCTCGGTACTCTAGTCAGCAGAGCCTGGTCCTCAGAAGGGGTGGTGGGGAGAATCCCAACTCAACACATCTTTCCTATATCCAGGACCAAGGCATTTTTTAAAAAGTAGCAGTGTAAAATGAAATTCTCTGAAAACAAAGTCTATATCCCCTCCTCTCAATGCAGAGACTCCACTGACAGGAAATCTGAATAAACTTCTCAGCTGATCATTTATTTGCAGCTCATTGTGAGACAAATGAAAGAAAATTACCTATAATCAAGAACAATAGAATTTACACTCTGCTATATTAAATGAGATTAGCAGTCTTGATATGTAAATACTTTCTAATTAACTTTAGACATTTTGAAACATCACAACAGAAATAGGCAAAAGAAAATGCTGGCTCTGATTAAATGAGCTTGTTCTATTTTACCTGAAAAACTTACATCACCTTTTAAACCATTATGTGAATCACAATAGACAACATACCTTTGCTCTGTAAACGTATCCCAAAACCACTACGACAACTTCTGTGACAAACACCAGGAGCAGGATGATGACAAACTGTAAGGAAATATTGTCAAAAATTAAACAAGAGTGAAAAAAATAGCTCTAAATACTCTTGCTAAAAAAGCAATTATCAGGTCTTTTGCAAAAGAGGAGATTAACAAAAAGAATGAAGATGTGTTAAGTGCAAGTACCAACTCCACATGAGGAATGTAATCATTATTTACTGCAAACATGTACTAATAAAACAGAAAAAAAAAGTCATTTTAATGTCCTTAAAGACTTCAAATTTTTTTTAAAAAGCAATTATCAGAGAACTGGTAGAGGCTTATTAGCACAAGTGTTAATTTTGTTCCATTATAAGAGCTTTGGAGTTAATGGTGTTTCGTGCTTAGTTCCACAAGTCAGTGACAGAGATGAAACAGCTGCATGGGGCTCGTAAGTGGTCAGGAAGTGCCGGCTTACCGTGGCAAGTCCACAGCGGCTTTCTCGGATTGTGGCACAGCAGCCAATGAGCCCGATGATGAAAAGCAGGGCTCCAACAGCAATGATCACCACAGCAGGGATGAGCGTGTACACATCCTCGAAGAAGTGGTCATAGTCGTCATAGGTGATGAAGACATACGCACCCACATAGCACAAAATGCCAGCTGCCCCCTGTTGAAAACCAAAGTCTGAGCACTGTATAATATTAACAATATGAAACCGTCATACCCACAGGGGCACATAATCTCTCACTTGTCTATTCCAAGCACCTAGCAAGTACCAGTCAAAATTGACTGAGTTCACCTCACCTTATCTCTTCCCTTAAAACTGTTCTGCCATCTCTATCACATGTACCTTCTCTTCAGTCCAAAGTTCACACACACACACACACACACACACACACCCACACACCCACCCAATGTGGTTTCACTGTGCTTCCTGGCCTCGAACTCTTAGGCTCAGGCTAGGACTACAGGTGTGTACCACTGCTAACAGCCCTACGGTTGTTTGTTCACTCTTCAAACTCGACTTGGCAGCTTACTCTAGCTTACTGAATTTTGATGGCTATCACATCTAGGGTGCATCAATTTATAAATGTTACTCAACCATAAAAATAAATGCTGCACTTACAGCAACTCTTATCTGTTCCATGACCTTGACACACTGGCTTTTGGGACATGTTACTACAGGGGGAAGGTGACCCAGGAAGGGAAAGGAGAATAAACAGGCTAGTTTTGATGCATTTATTACAAATGTATATGAACATTGAAATAAATGCCCTTTTACTAAAATACTACTTTTTCTTGACTAGTATGCATAACCTTATAAACATAATACACTTTGCTAAAGTTATCAGTCCTCGGGCTGAATTAGAAGAAATCTTAAATATGAGTTAATCAAATTGTGCCCAGTCTGTTTTCCCTGATTATTCATCCTTTAGATTCTTAACATGTTTTATTACTCCAAAGGTGATCATTTCTTAAAAGGCACAAATTAAAATCAATTCTATTTTTAAGATTCTTGCAAATGAAGTTTGTTAGGTTGGCTCCTAACTTCTGGGTTCAAGCAATTCTCCTGCATCAGCTTCCTGAGTAGCTGGCAGTAAAGGTGCACACCACTATGCCCAACTAGTAAATGAAGCCTACAAAATCTAAATGAAAAAAAGATAAAGGGCTGGGGATTTAACTCAGTGGTTCCACTGCCTGCCTCACAAGTGAAAGGTACCAGGTTCAATCCTCAGTACCAAAAAAAAAAAAGATTAAACTGGGGAATATATGTACTCAACAATTAACCCATTTATGCTGAAGACTGAAATTTTTTAAATTTTTGCATAAAATTCATGTTTCCTAGAAAAATTCAAGGAACAAGAATCTGAAGAGAAAACATGTCATTATGTTCCATTGTTATGGGTGTTCCAAAAATGGATCACTAGGTATTGAAGGGTTATTCTGAAGCACAGGGCCTGGAAGAACTCCTAGCATTATAGACATCAAATGAGTTTTCAACCTAGAGAAATTCCTGAGACTCTCTGCTGCTTGGGAATAGGCCAGGTGAAACGTTTCCTCTGCCGTCCTCCACTCTGTCCTCCACTCCGACAGAGGCCCGCATCTCAAATGGAGACTGCAGGGAAGCAGAAAACTAACAACAGGTATAGCCAGACTCCAACAAATGCCAAGGAAGGCTACGAGGAGGTGCTATTTTTGAGACTGCTTATTTTCACCTAATAGATATGAGGATGGTTTCTTTTCCCAGGCTGCAAACCAGTTAACATTTACTTCCCACAGCAGAGATGAGAATCTAAGAGTTCTATTTTGGCAACATTTAGGAGGAAACTATGCACCAGTTACAGGTGCCAAAGTGCAAACTGCTGATATGAGACTATAAACAAAATTACTTGTAAATACAGCCTGTTTCCTAAATTGAAGACAACTTCTAAATGTTCTTTTAATGAAATCTGTATATGGTGCTTTTATCTTCAGTTGTGTAGTATTTATGAAATTACACCAGTCCCTCTGAAAATACAGAGCAGGCGTCCTAACAGCTGAAGACCTAAAAGCAGCTCAAAGCAACTGCCTTAATGACATCCAGCCGATGGTATGAGAACCACCCTAGGAACAGGAACAGTGCAGTGGACAGAAGGGAGGCTAGAAGCAATTCTCAGCTAGTGTGCACAGGGCTGCTTCAGCCACTCAGAGTTTTTAAGTAGAACTTGTGGCTACTGGAAAAGCTGAACAGAAGGTGAAAGTGTTAAATCCTCCTGTTGAAGGGCTGTGATGGGACTGGAATCTATCAAAGGATCTGGGCTTTGCCAGCCACACAGCTGCAGAGAATCGGAGAGGGGAGACAGAGGGCAACAGGAGAGGAGACAGAATGAGAACCTGGGTGAAGCTGAATGCTGCAGTCACTGCCAGGAATCTGAGCCTGTAAGGAGAAGCCAAGGCAGGATGGCGGACTAAAAATATTCATCCATTTCACAAAGAGCTGAAAGGAGCTCTAGGGGAAAGGCTGACAGCTGAAACTACAGAAAGAGTAATTTTAAAAATCATTTCCCTTTACCTTTTACTATGCCAATGCCTTCAATTAAGTCACAGGATTTTAAAACTTGAGGAGAGCTAGTGCTTTTCCATGAACCAAGCTGTTCCTCAGAAGCTATTTTATGAATTCCCAAAGTATCCCATTTCACTTTATTCTTTTAGCTTTCTACATATACACAAATGTGAAATCTCTTGGAGTAAGACATTTCAATCTTATATAATTGCTTTTTTGATGTTTAGAAACTAGTCTGGGGGAGTAATTCAAATCTTTTTAAAAAATAACAGGAGCTAATGAAATGCTGCAATTCACAAAACTTCTAAATTCCCTCACTTTCAACAAACACAGTAAAGCTAGCCACGGGAATGTGGCAATAATAAACTTGTCACGAAGTAGGAGATAGAACAGTTCTGCTGTCAAAAGTGTATCTACAGGGAAATTCAGAAGTGTGAAGGTGGAAGCATCCCACAGAGCTCGTGGTGAAGGTGAAGAAAGAAAAACAAGTGATTTCTCGAGTGACAGAATGGACACACATGGATGGACGATCGTGTCTAGAGCTGGCAAGAATGAGGATGACAGGAAGACTGGGCACCAACCTGGACCTTGTTCACCTAAACGCAGGTGGCTGACAAGCTTGCCTGCCTGTGTGAACTGTCCCTTTGGGGTCATTTTTCCTCAAATAGCCAACTGATGAAGCAGAAGTGTTTGGAATTTGGGAGGGAAAAATAGTTGAGAAAGACTGGGCATAAGTGGTACATCCTAGACTTTATGCAAAGCAGATTTTCAAAGCAGAGGCACAAAATGCACTGAAATCCATCATATATATGCATCTTTCTACATTTAATTCTGAGTTTTCTGTATGTAAGAAGTAATCAAAATATACAGTGAACTGCCGCCTGCCTCACAAGCATAAGGTCCCAAGTTCGATCCCTGGTACCAAAAAAAAATACACACACATATATATATGTATATACACACACATATATACATATATATATACATGTATAGTGAATACTTCAACTTTAAAAATGTATTACAGTAAAAGGCACACTGCCATTGATTCCCTCTCAAAACCCTTCCGCTAGCTCAGAACACATCCCTTTGTAGTTGCCACTCTGAAGCAGGTCTGGAAGTCCTCTCTTGTCTTTACAAGGTGTGATCAAAAACACAATGAATGCTGCTGCAGAGTGTCATCCAATGGAAAGGCAGGCTCATAAAAACATTACAGTACATCCTCATCCACCTTATCCACTACATCTGGCACTGTGTGACCTCTAGCTCTTCCCCAAAGTCAAAAGAGTATGAAAGGGAAATATTTTAAATTGATTCAGGACATTGAAGCAGCCACAACAGCACAAATAAAGATACTCATGAAAGAGAATCTCCAGAACTGCTGCAAAAAGTGGCTTGAATGATGGGTGTGTTTGAAGTGAAGGGGAAGATTTTTTTTTTTTTTTGGTACCGGGGATCAAACTTGGGTCCTTGTGCTTGTGCAGCAGGTGACGAAACAACTGAGCTAAATCCCCGGCCTGAAGGGGAAGATTTTGATAGGGATTATGGCAATATGTCTTTCACTGTAATAAATTTTTAAAGTAGCCAGGCTTCATGGTGCATGCCTGTGATCCCAGCATTCGGGAGGCTGAAGCAGGAGGTTTGCCAAAAGTTCGAGGATGGCCTAAACTACATAGCAAGACCATGACTCAAATTTTTAAAATTTAAATATTCACTATTTTTGGATCATGCCTGGTAGTCTGACTAGTTTATATATCTAATTTCTTTCCAGGGAATCACTGATAATGCTACACAGTGCATTTCTGAAAACTCCCCCAAATTCTATCCCTGTACTACTGCAAGTATCTTGAAAATCTTAAATCCTTTACACGCTTCTTTAATAGTGTCTAGTCCAGTTGTGTCTTGTTTCAACTCTGATAAAATAGTTTGTGCCACTAAACACAGTCACTCCTTTTACTTAGCTACCACCTGCACATTTCATTTACTCTATTAACTTTGAAGAAAAATTTTGAGAAATTAAAGCTACTCTTTATCAAAAACTTCTGAAGCTATTAAAATAATGACACCATTTTTCACCTAAAAACTAGTCAATAATAGCCAGGCAGTATTCAAAGAAATATGAGGGTGGAGAGAGAAGGACCTCAGACTGGAGGGAGAAGGTTAACAGAGAATTGCCTCTGGGGAACCAATCCATATTGGCCCTAGATTACATTTTTAAGCTTATTAATTCCACCCCCACAAATCTATCCTTGGATTCCTAGAAATAAGTCAGTTGGAAACAAGAGAGTTGTGCAGAGTGTATGTCCAATCATACCAAAATTATAACAGCAAACACAAAAGAAAGTCCTAGAGAGAGGTATGCCTGCATTATAGCTCCGAAATATTCTGATAAAGCATTACTTAATACAGAATGTTTGTGGTAAGCTAAGGGAAAAACACATGTATATACAAAGAAATTTTTAAAAACCCAAAATGCTAATACTGGTTTCTCTAGGTGGTGGAATTATGGGTATTAAGTTTTTTAAAAAATACCTTTTAGTATCTTCCTAAATATATGTGTGCATATATATCATACAATAGAAAAATATTTTCAATTGTTTGAAACTGAGATTGCTTTTTTCAAATGA